ATATATATATTTGTAGAATATCCACCGTCGACAATAATGATTAATCCCCCTCACTGAATTGTAGGCACCTCGATAGGTAGGATAACTGGCCAAAGTATTTAAGGTTGCTCCATGCCCATGGTAAGGTTCGAATCTTCGACCTATATTTAAGGTTGGAAGAGTTTCTTCCACTCCACCGCAAATATTTTAGTTTAAATCTTTTCTTCATGAACGAAATTCTTGACAAGTTGCATGATCGAATTTACCGCATGAAATACCCACGCCAAACAAGTATGCCAGACCTTGAAAAGTTTCATTAGAAGACCGATGACTAATTCAATACAATTTTAACTTTTAGGGTTTTTGTTTCAACACGTTAGGGATTCCATTCGAAATAGATAAACCACAATAGTCTCAGTAATAACTATTTAGATTTGCTAAATTTGAAAATAATGTAGTCAATTTTTATAGACTGATATATTATAGTCTAATAACAAATCTTGTTGAGTCGTTTACCAATCGAATAAATGTCGGTGAACTGTAATGAAATGTATGAATGTTAAGTTAGCTGGTTCTTCAGACAATGAAACACGGTAATTTATTTGTCTATTTAAAAAAGGGGTCAATATATATAATTATGTTGCAACATATAAATGTAATAAATCGTAATAATTGGTAGAAGTCTTGGCGCGCCACAAAGGAAAATTTTTCAAGAGATGACTTTAAATCTTTAATAAATCGTAATAATTGGTAGCAGTCTTGGCGCTCCACAAAGAAAATTTTTTCGAAGATGACTTTAAATCTTTAATTAGTGTGTGAATTCATGAATACCGCAGGCAATCTTTACACTTATAAAAATTGCTCATTTACAGTCGTTAGGATAAATTTACCCCTAATAAGTAAACTTTCTCCTCAAACTATCAAATTCAAATTACTTTCTCTTCTTCTTCAACTCCCAAAGAAAAAATCAAAAAAAATCAAAATATCAAATTTAAAAACAACAATTATTAATACTACTCATTTAAATTTAAAAAATATAAACTCCAAAGATTAATACTACTCATTTTAAAAAAAAACTAAGTATTGAAAAAATAATAAATAACTAAAATAGATATAAAACAAAAAAAAATAAAAAAGGATTAAAAGAAGTTTTTTAAAAAATTCTGGTTTAAAGTAGCCGGCCCAAAACCGGCTATCCATGAAGGACCAGCCGGTCCGAAACTGGCTACCCAAAGAGAGGTAGCCGAACCAGAACCAGCTACCTCTCCTTAGGTAATCGGTTCCGGTTCGGCTACCTCTCTTTGGGGGTTTCAAACCGACTGATCCTCCATGGATAGTCGGTTTTGGACCAGATATCTTGGACCATAAATTTTTTTTTTTCAATTTTTTTGTGTTATATTCATTTTATTTATTTATTATTTTTTCAATACTTAGTTTTTTTTTAAATGAGTAGTATTAATCTTTGTTCTTTATATTTTTTAAATTTAATTAAATTTAAATGAGTAGTATTAATAATTATTATTTATGTAAATGAAATTTAATTTAGCGTTAATTATATTTTTGTGTTATTTTTATTATCATTGTTACATTTATTTTAGTTTCAATATATGAATAAGAAGTATTAAGTAATTTAATAATTGATGTTTATTATATTTTTAAATATAATTAAATTTAAATAAGTAGTATTAATTAATTTGAAAATTAATTTACTATTAATTATATTTTTGTTGTGTATTGATTAATATTCATTTTTATGTGAATGAAATTTAATTTAGCAATAATTTAGCAATGAAATTTGTTATTGGTTGTTTCTCGCAATCCGTCATTTTTTCAGGTTCCTAATTTTTGTAGATCTAAATTTGAAAGATGTGGGTTTTACTTTTTTGGTTTGAGGTTGGAGAAGAAGATGGAGAAGAATAGGAAGAAGAGGAAGAAGAAAGGAGAAAAATAGGAGAAAGAGGGGTAAAATTATCCTAACAACTGTAAGTGAACAATTTTTATAACTGTAAAAAAGCAATTCAGTATCTTTTTAAACAAATGTTAAGAGTCTCTTTCTCAAAGGCGCTTTTTCTTGTTTGGTAGGAGAAAAATCGTTCTTTAATGATGCAATACATGTTGATCACGTACACATGTAATTTTTTTCTCGAAAGAAATTAATATACGTTATCCGTCCCATTTTAATAATTTATTTATTTTCCTTATTTTAATTTAGTAAATTAGACTGTGAAAATGAAATAAACAGTACATATTGTGTGAGATGCTGATGATGATAGCAACTAAACTATTATGAACAATGGAAAGCAAAAACAAAACAAAATGAATCAGCTCTTATCCAAAACTATACATATATACACAATCAAATGTCACCACAAGATTTATACAAATTTCATCACCCTCTCTCAAATAAAAATCAAACGTCGTGATGTCCTCTTACTTATTGGCTTGATTGATACCACTGAGGATAAAGTTAACTTTGTTCTTCCAAACCATAAAAAAAAAAAACCATTAAGCATTTCATTTCATTAAAATTGTGAACCTATCTTGACTAATAAGGTTCTTGGGAATGTGAAAACACGCATTAGAGAAAGTTTTTTAAAAAAGGATTTTTTTTTTTAATAAGAAACTTAAGTAATATGCAAGAACGACATGATCCGAAGTTTTAAACCCTTTTTTTTTAACCTCAAATGTCAATGAAGACACAATGATGACCAAATAATAACATTGAAAAGGAGGCCAAATTGAATAAACAAAAACAAGAAAACAAAAAGGTGGAAGAAAGAAATTGATCGGGAGGTGATGGAGCCAATGGGAGGAGGAGGATTGGAACAGATGGCAAAAGAATTGCAAAGACGACGCCGCAATCCAATGGGGGAAGATTAGGTGTGGGAGTCATGAGGCCATATTGTGGGCATGTGATGTGAGCAAAAGACCCCCCCCAACAAAAAAAAAAAAAAAAGGGATATATAAAAGTACGCATTACACGTGAGCACATTTCACAAAAGGTGACCCGAAAAAAAGTCTAAATCCATGACTTTAATTTTGATTTATATTAGTGGTTTTTTCTCCATTTCAATCTTCAAGTGGCAACGCATTAATAATATGGATTGCATGTGTGGATCACTTCTAATTACTATTTATCTTCCTTCCGTGACTCTATCTACTCTATCCATCATCATGTCCTTACTATAAATTATTTTGTTTGTTCTTAAATTTTATTTTTATGTTCTTTTAACTGAAAATAAAATCTTAAAAATATATTAAAATTTTATTTTTAATTAAAAAAATATGAGAAATGAATTAAAAATGAAATTTATGAGAAATAAAAATATCGTATAATAAAAACCGGAAAGAGTAATATATGCGACTCTATTTTAGATAAACGGGTTCTTAGTTTCACCGGACTCATTAATAACATAGATTTACAGCTATGGGATTCTCAAACGGAGATTATTGTAGTATTTGGAAGCTTGGAGCTTGTGAGGCCCTTTTTTTTTTTCCTCATTTTGGAATCATCCATATACGAATTGTTTACTTCAACATTGGCTACTGACGATGCTTGGATACGCGCGCCGCTGGTTTAACGGTGGAACTCCGGCTAGGGTTTTCTGTAAAATAGGGCCTCGGGGTCTCCCGAGGGTAAACACTCCGATACTTAAGTCAGTAAAAGGGTTGCTAGAAAGTTTGGTATGTAGTTTGTTAAGCTATAGATTGCGTACCTGTACTGTGGTGTGAGCTACCCTATTTATAGGTATGAGAATACCTGGACAATCCCCGAATCCTATTAGGTTTCGGGAACCTAAACCGCCTCAAGAGTCTGGTTGGACTCTTTCTCCGGTTGGTTGGCCGATCCAGTCTCGGTGATAGATATGGACTCGCCAAGTGCCCCTGCTAAGTGTTAATGGCATAAAGATAAACAACGCTTGGCACAAAGTAAATGTTACATGGGACATACCCGAGAGTGGACAGGCTACTCTCGTTCGGCTAATTAACGAGCAACACGTCGAACGACCTCCATGCGAACGCACAACCCTCGACCTTGGAAAACCGAGGGTAACTAGCGGGTTAGATCTTGACCCGGGAAGGCGACCCGCTGCCTAATCCCGCCCAAAATTTCAACTGCGCGTTATTAGTGGGCACGTTCCCCAAACGGCGGCCTTACCATCATTACTTCCTTGAAATCTGCAATAACTCTCATATCGTGGTCTGTAATTAGGAAAACATGGGAGAATAAATTTTATTTTTAAGGAGAAGATTCTACCGTCCCCCGTCACTCAACAATTTCTCTTCTTTGCAAAAAATCGAAATTCTCTTCTCTGTCAGAGCATTCCAGTCTCAAAAGAACTCCTCCCCATCAGAGAATTTCGATTTCCTCCACCGGAATATTCAAGCTTTTACCAGAGATACTGCTCCGGCGACGTTGTTTCCAGGGGATTTGCTGTCAAGATTCAGGAAGAACACTGGGAAGTTACAACTCGAAAGGCGAGTGGTCACGTCTTCCTCTAACAGTAAGTTTCCAGATCTAAATTCCCGGTTTCGTTCCCTGTGTTTTTCTTTTCCAATTGTAGTCAAAGTAGATTTGTGCCGGAATTATGGTTAGGGACTCCGAAGAAAAAACTGTTGATGACTTTGTATCCACCATAGATTCTGTTGATAAGGTAGAGAACCTTAGATCCAAATATGACCTTCCTTCAGTCCTAGAGGCAAGAGCCCGATTAGGAAACGAGAGGGCCAACTCTCCTCCAGGGGGAAGAATTACTGCGTATGACCGATTCATGCACCTAGGGCTTAGATTCCCCCTCTTTCCCCTATTTGAGGAGATTGTGCAACACTACAGGACTCCCCTTGCTCATTTTACCCCAAATTTAATAACGTTTGTACTGGGATTTACAAGAGTATGCCAACATGTAAAAGTAATACCTCGATTAATATTGTGGAGGTACTTCTTCCAAGTAGTTGTGGCCTCGACCTCTTTCCAGGACTGGTATATTGTGAAAAGGTGCCTTAGAGCCGGCGTGAAAAAGATGGTCGAGGCGTATGGCGGCTCCCTGAAATGGAAACCAGACTTCTTGTTTGTAAAGGCACCCACGAGTTATTGCCTGCCGTGGAATCTCCGAGAGACGGAGGGTCTCTGGGCCATAAAGGATGAGTGGACCCAAGAGGATGAAGAGTGCATCGAAGAGCTCCAGGCAGATGTGGAGAAGATTCTGAAATATTCCAAGGTCGTTAAATGGAACGACGTACAATATTATGTGCCTCCTGAATACACGAAGGAAGATGATACAGTCAACGTCGAGGCCACAGCCAGAATTCTTCTCGAAACCCCTGTTGAAGAAAACCAAGGTACTAATCATTTTCTTTTTTCCTTTTGTAGTTAGGTCATGTCGTCAAGCAATGCTGGGTCTCGATTGTTTGGTGACGAAGATTCTTTTGTCATTGTGAATTCAAATGAGGACGTTACTATCACTGCAGCGCCTCAGAAGAAGAAGAAGAAGAGGATCGTAAAGGTTAGTGATAGGACGAAATCCAAGAAAGCTAAAACGGATGCACCCTTGAAGGAAACCACACCGCTGGGTAACGAGACGGTGCCCCTTACCACTGAGTCTATTCAGAAATCTCTGCCGGAAGCAGGGCCAAGCATTGTTCCCCCCATGGCAGATAAAGGCAAAGGCCCCCTTGAAGAAGAGGCAATAATCCTGCCTCCTCAACTGTTCGAGGGAGGGCCGTCCGTGGCAGTGCACACTTTTAGCAGCCCGCCGTCAATCGAGTGCCCTGTCATCGAGGAATTTGCTGCTCAGCTGAATGAAGCCGACAGCCGGAGACTGGTAAGTAATTTTCTAGATTAGGTTGCAAATGAATATGTATATCAATGTGTTCTTGATATGCTATGTTGGTGCAGATAAGTGTAGCCTCGATGGCCTATCTAGTGCAGTTAAGAAAACTATGAGAAGATCTGGCTACGGCTCGGGCAGAAAGGGATGAAGCGTTGTTTGAGGAGGTGACTCTCGAGGAGAAGGCCCGCCAAGTTCAAGCCAAGGAGGCTGAGATTGCCATGGTGCAAGCTAAGTATGACGAGCTAGATGAGAAGATGAAGTCATTCGCTAGCTTGCACATCTCGAAAGAGGAACTGCATCAATGGTGTACTGCCTTCATGTATAAGATGCTGCCTATAGGAGGGATGGCTGTAGCCCTCGAAGAGATGAACTTGGTTGCCACCAAGTGCGGAGCGCACCGAGTTGGCATGGCAGTGTTGAGGAGGCTTGACCAGGACAGGCCGATTAAAGCTAAATGGTTTAAGCAGCTCCTGATGAAGGACCCGAAGAAAACCATGCACGAGGCCATGGTGAAGGTCTTGATAAATTTGAGCCTCGAGCATCTACATCTGTGGGAGGCTCTGACCGGCGCCATGGCAAAAATGAGTTCTCCGGCGGAGATTGCCTCGTTTCCTGGCGGCGTTCCTGCTATCCTAGCCAAGGGTCTACGTGAGGAAGACCCCATACCTGATGTACCCGATGAGCACATGGGTATCGAGCTCGAGGACGCCGACGAAGCCACCGAGGACGTTGCTGATACTGGCCATTCTGGTGTCCAGAGAACTGTCGAGGATGCCTTCCAAGACCCTTCCAAGGATCCCCCTCCAGGCAGTGATGCTGTATGAATCCTGCCCTTTGTAATAGCTGTTAGGCCATTTAAACTGCTACTTTCTTTTGCAATGAACTGATTACTGCATTTCTTCTTTTTACGTACTTATACAAGCATCTTTTCCCCTTCTTTGCTTTGTCCTCTATTTTCTTTCTCTTTGGTTTGATGTAAGCATCTTAAACTCCTCTGGTGAAACAGGATAGTTGGTCTGTCTACCGTGTTCACCTCATGGTGCTATCGGAGGAGCAATCAAGGGAGTTCCCGCTATATTCAATGACTAGCGAAATTCTGAGAAGTCGTGCTGATGTGCACAGCATCGAGACGATGGCACATTTAGAGAATGACCTCCTCGATGCGATGAGGATGCACAATGTAAAGGTTAATCAGCATCTGATAAACGAGATTAAAGGACTCCGTGAGGAGATGTAGCTCGAGAAGTTCAAAGTTTGAAAGACTACAGTGATTTTTTGACTTTCGAGGCCGAGATCCATGATGATCTGGTTACCTTGGAGAAAGAAAATGCTCGGCTGAGGGCAAGACAGCAGATTACCGTGTCTCCCTGGTTCCTCGAGAAGCATCAAGTGTTAGCCCGAGTCCAGCACATGATTATGATCAGAACTCGCCACTTTATTGCAGCCATGGATATACTGAAAGAGAAAGCTCGTGAGATCGAGCTTCTTACAGACTATATTGCCCAACTGCAAAATCTACTACTAGATAACAACATTGACTTGGAGGCTTTTGAGCGTCCGGAGGAAACAGTGGATCCTCGAACTCGGAGTTCTCGAGAAGAGCTATTGATGAGGGTGCACGCTCAGGACATAGAGATCGTGGACCTTAAGGATAAGCTGAATCAATGTGTGAATCTCCTTAGCCTACATAGGTATAAGGGGATTATTCATCCCTCCTCCAACAATCCTGTCAGGGAGGTCCTTGTAATAGTGTAGGAGAATATATGTACTTTCTGCGAGTTCGCACAGTAGTGTGGAACGAATTATTATTTATTTTACTTGAGTATTGATTTATAAAACGCTTTTTAGGCCGGATGTAAAGTACACGGCTCTATCAAGAAAATTAGGTACGAATTCCTTGATTTGATACTGCGTTTAGCAGTGTGTATGAGGAAAATTCCTCGAGTTTGTGTCCGGATGTTGAGTTCACGGCTCTAGAACGAGGATGGCCCTGGAGAGAGAATCCATCTCGATGACTAGTCATGAATGCAATGTTGTTAATGAAAAGAATATGTAATATCTTTTATTGAATAATTTTCCGAGGACCCGAGTTAGCATTACATATGAGAGTATAAAACTGACGGGGTAAATAAAGCAAATAAAATACACAATAGGCAAATAGCGGACAAAGACTCAAACATAGAACCTGCGAAGATTCTGAATGTTCCACCATCGAGGAAGAATAGTCCCACTATCATCCATGGCCTGTAGGCGGTAGCTTTCTGCCGGGGAAGCCTGGATAACCTTGTAAGGCCCTTCCCAATTTGCTGTAAGTTTTCCAGGAGTTTCTGCTCGACTGGCCTCGTTTTTCCTTAGTACGAGGTCGCCCACAGCGAGATTCGTGACTTTCACCTTTTTGTTGTAATGTCTGCGCAGACTCTTTATACTTTGCTTCTCGGATTTTGACGGCGTCTCAACGTTCTTCAAGCAGGTCAAGGTTTAGCCGGATGTCATCATCGTTGGTACTCTCGACGAAGATTATGGTTCGAGGACTCGACAAGCCTATTTCAACTGGGAGGACGGCATCCATGCCATAGACTAAGCTATACGGTGTCTCGTCTGTCGAGGAGTGGGCAGTTGTATGGTATGACCACAGGACGTGGGGAAGCTCGTCGGCCCATGCCCCCTTGGCGTCATACAACCCGGTCTTAATCTCTTGCAATATTGTTCTGTTGATGGATTCGGCTTGACCATAAGCTTGGGGATGAGCCACGCTTGAGAAGCAACGCTCGATTTGCATTTTGTCGCACCATGACTTGAAAGTATTGCTCTCAAACTGGGTCCCATTGTCGGAGATGATAACCTTTGGGATTCCAAAACGGCATACTATGTTCTGCCAGAAAAAATCCAAGACTTTCCTCCCTGTGATCGAGGCCAAGAGTTTGGCTTCTACCCACTTAGTGAAATAATCTACCACTACGATAACCCATCTTACTCCTCCTACCCCTTCCGGATGAAAGGGGCCGATGATGTCAGTGTCCTATTGGTAGAATGGCCAAGGGCTTTGGATGGTGACCATCTCGTGCTGTGGCTACCAGGTGATGGGAGAGAAGCGTTGACACTTTTCACATTTCTGTACCCACTAGTAGGCATCCTTAAAAACTGTCGACCAGAAATATCCTGCCCGCAAGACCTTCTTGGCGAGTGCCCTTGCTCCCATATGAGCTCCGCACGATCCCTCGTGTACTTCTTCGAGTACATAAGCTGCCTGCTTTGGGCCAACACACCTTAGCATGGGGAGCAGGTACCCATGCTTGTATAGGATGCTGTCTTGCAATGTGTATTTGACCGCCTTCAATCGGAGGGTTCTGGCTTCTGCTTTTCTACTTGGCAACGTCCCATCTGTAAGGTATTAGATAAACGGGGTCATCCAGGTGTTGCCGTCCTCGACGATGGTCATTATAGGGGCTTCATGGATGCTAGGATTGGGGAGAATCTCGACCCATACTTTGTGGCTGAGGTGCACAAAATTCGAGGAGGCCAACTTGCTGAGGGCGTCGGCCCTCTTATTTTTCGACCGGACTATGTGGGATACAGTGCATTCTTCGAACTTGTCCTTGATGTCGAGGACTTTCTCGAGATAGCACTTGAGTTGCTCGTTGTTTGCTGTGTATTCTCCCAATATTTGTTTCACCACTACCTGAGAATCACTAAAAACTTGGATTTTGCGAACTTCGAGCTTTAGTGCCATATTCAATCCTACTATAAGTGCCTCGTATTCTGCTACATTGTTGGTGACTGAAAAACCGAACCTTAGTGCGTATGTGTACTCCGCGTCATATTCCCTCATGTTTTCAAAGTCGGGATCCGTTGGAGGTTTGGATAATATGATATCGGCTCCTCCCCCTTCATCACAACGAGAGCCGTCGACGTATAGTGACCAGGCTCGAGGGTTCATGTTGACGTGAGTGGGGGGATCATTTTTAGGCTCCGCCGTTTCCTTGACATCGATAGCTCGAGGCATTTCTACTAGGAAATCTGCAAAGGCTTGTCCTTTGATGGCTGATCGAGGTTTGTATTCAATGTGGTGCTCGCCCAATTCGATTGCCCATTTCATCATCCTGCCGGAGGCTTCTGGCTTGAGTAGGACTTGCTGAATTGGTTGTTTTGTTAAAACCATGATGGGGTGTGCTTGAAAGTATGGGCGCAGACGTCGGGCAGCCAAGACTAGGCTGAGAATGAGCCTTTCCATGAGCGTATAACGGGTTTCCGCTCCTTGCAAGACTTTGCTAACAAAATAGACGGGGATTTCTCTGCCGTCTTTGCGCTGCACGAGCACGGCCGAGATGGCTCTCTCTCGAGTTGCCAGGTAAATGTATAGTGTTTCCCCTGGCTCAGGCTTGGCTAATGTCGGCAACTGCTTGAGGTGCTCCTTCAGGTCTTGGAAGGCGGCCTGGCATTCTCCATTCCACTCAAATTTTCTGCCTTTGCGGAGGGTATAGAAAAATGGAAGGCTTCTCTCAGCCACTCGAGACAGAAACCTGTTTAAGGCTGCCAAGGAGCCTGTGAGTTTTTGAACTTCTTTGACAGTTTTTGGTGCTTCCATGGCTAAGATGGCCTCGATTTTGGCTGGATCAACACTTATTCCATCCTTGGAGAGTTGGTATCCTAGGAATTTTCCTGACCCTACACAAGGTGCATTTTTTGGGATTCAGCTTCATGTTAATTTTGCGTAAGATTGTGAAAATCTCGCGCATATCTGCAGCCACTTGCTTATCCTTATTGGTCTTTATCACCATGTCGTCCACGTAAATCTCGATGTTCCAGCCGATTTGGTCATGAAAGGTTCTGTTTACGAGACGCTGGTACGTGGCTCCTGCATTTTTCAGTCCAAAAGACCATCTCGGTGATGTAAGCTGTCTTCTCTGCATCTTCCTGTACCATGAGGATTTGATGATATCCCTTGTATGCATTGAGGAAACTGAGGACTCTGTATCCGGCAATGCTTTCTACCATCTGATCTATAACTGGTAGAGGGTAGTAGTCCTTGGGGCAAAGTTTGTTGAGGTCGGTGTAGTCTTGGCACATACGCCAAGAGTTATCGGGTTTTCGCACCAAGACCGGGTTGGCTAACCAAGTAGGCCATAGAACTTCTCGGAGTATGTTGGCACGGACTAGCTTCATTATTTCTTCATTGATGACATCATTGCGTTCGCGAGCAAATACTCTTTTTTTCTGTTGCACTGGTTTGACATTTGGGTCAACATTTAGCGTATGTTCCATATTTTCTCGAGGGACTCCTGTCATGTCCGCTGGAGACCAAGCGAATATATAGCGGAACTCGCGTAGCAAGGTACTGACTTCGGCTAGCAATGGGTCTTGGAGAGAAACACCTATTTGAATGGTCTTGGTGGGATCAGTTTCGCTCAGGATCACCTCTTGCGTCTTGCTGCTGAACGAGGGAAGGTTGGAGATCTCGGGATCTTCCACTTCTGGTGGGTTGAACGTTTGTCGAATTGAGTAGCACTCCGACACGGCGGAGCTCGGGTTAAGGTATGCAGCCTTCTTTCCAATTTTAACTATTGTGAGTAAGCATTCTCTAGAGCTCCGCTGGCATCCTTTTACTACTCCCACTCCATATTCTGTCGGGAATTTCATTACCAAGTGATAGGGAGACCAGATTGCGCGCGCTTGGCACATCAAGGGTCACCCTAGGATCACGTTAAATAAATGGCGAGGGTGAATCTATTAAAGCGAAATCCATGGTTAAGGTGACCGTCCTAGGATCCGACCCTACCGAGATGGATAGGCTAATTATTCCTGTGGGGATAATAGTATGTCCTGAGAATCCCATCAAGGGCATTGTAGCTGGGCGGATGAAAGGGTTTTTGATATTCATTTTCTTTCTGTATATGATGTCAACCGTGCTGCCATTATCCACGTAAACCCTTCCGACTTTTACATTTGCGATTATTGCCTCTATAACCATAGCATCACTGTGGGGACAAATGTCCGGGAGGACATCGCTGTCTGTAATTACGATGGCCTCCGTTCCCTTGAACCTTTTGTGGCTAGGCTCCTGTCGAGGAGTTTTGGTGACGGTTTGCAACGAGTTCTTCATGGCTGTGGTGGATAAGACTTCGAGGGGAGCTTCGTAAATAGCTCCTACCTGGTGAGTGATTAGCTTCGTTGGATCCGCCGGGGGGAGTTGCTGGAGTGGCTGTGGTGCTGCTTCAGTGATTTGATACGGTTGTTGTT